CTTTAATCAAATAATAAATCCATGTAGAAAATATATTTCCAAATTTACAGAACAAAATTCGAAGTTTTAAGGAGTCCAAACGCGCGGCGAGGCGGTTGGTCAACGGTAACATAAGATATAAGATTATAGAATTTGTAACTGTTTTTGGTGCGTTTTCGGAAGTACTTATGTCAGAGTGCAAGCAAAGTTTGAAATTCGAAAAAGCAGGAAATCAAAGCCTCAGTTTTAAACTTGTTGTTACATTTTTTTTTAACTTTTAATACCGAAAATTTTAAACGCGTTTTTCTCGAAACCAGTTTTTGGCAATTGGCGGGAAAGATTACTCAAAAACTATTCGATCAATCGAGTTGTCCCTGCGTATACATGTAGTTTAATAATATAAATTGTCGATGAACCTATAAAATTAGTAAAATAATTAATTTAAACAATTTTTATTGCATAAAGTGACATTTTGTGGGTCAAAATCGCAATTTTTTTTTAAAGTGTTGCCATTTTTTCAATTTTCAACTTTTTACTTATTTTTTAGGTTCATCGACTAGATAATTTCATAGAAAAAAAACTTTTTTTTTTTTTTCAAACGAGTGCAAAAGGCGCTACAATTCCCGCCAATTCACAACTCCAGTGATGAGGCTGCGTCAACATTTGTTTATAGTGGCTCTATAATCAATTATTTTTAAACAAAAAAAATTTTTTTTTACTTTTTAATATATGTTATAAAACACTAAAAAGTTTAAAAAAAATCCGTTGCATTGTTTCTTAAAAAAAAATTCCTAAAAATCACCTTTGTTTTAGCGATTCATACAAAAACTACAACACGTTAAGATCGCCACCGCTTCACCTCAGGCGAATGGCCAAGTTGAAAGGCTTAACCGTACGATTTTGCCGATGATGGCTAAGTTAGCGGATGAACGAAATACATCCTGGTGTAATACGCTCAAAGATGTGGAATTTGCTTGTAACAACACCGTGTCTAAGGCCACAAACGAATGCCCAAGCATGCTGCTTTTTGGAGTATGTCAGCGCGGTAATATAATCGACGAGTTACGAGATGCGTTAGAGATAAATGGACAAATTGAAACACCCCGTGATTTACCGTATTTGCGCGAAAAGGCTAGTCAACAAATCCAAAAGACTCAAAACGCAAATAAGCAAGTTTATGATCGCAAACATAAGGTCACAACGAAATACCAGATAGGTGACAAAATAATGATAAGAAATTTCGATAATTCGCCAGGTGTTTCTCAAAAATTAATACCGAAATTTAAAGGTCCATATCAAATCGATCGCGTGCTCCGAAACGATCGGTATGTAATCAAAGATGTCGAAGGATTTCAATTATCGCAAACTCCCTATCGTGGGACATGGGAAGCGTCAAACATGCGACCTTGGATACCGGGTTAATATAAACTTAGATTAAGATACTTACTATTCTTTCCGTATTATTTATGCGTTGTATAACCATTGATATAAGATAAGTTTAAGCCATATATGTATTTTTATTTTATTAAGTTTGAGTTGGATTTACCTGCGCATTATGTCAGGTGACAAGTTTTATCTTTTTCTTTTTCGCCGCCTCCCATGTGCGATTAATCGGGGCGATTAATGGTCAGGCTCGCCGAATTATAAGGTCATAAAAGGCCTACAGCTACCGACGCTATTTACAAACAGCGGCCTTTGATTTAGGCGACACCGAAGCTGCCGATTCTACCGACGCGATGCGCGAGCGTTAGAGGCACACACACACACAGATAGCGGCTCATCCTTTCTTTTATTATTCCTTAGAAATAAACAAAATGCGAACGCGGCCAATCGAGCTCGATGAGCGATCAGGCAGTTTTGAGCTGGTTTCCGTACGAGGCAGTTCTGTTTTTCGTGGCCGGCCGATGTTAGTCCAAGCAAACATGTAAAACAAATTATTAAAACATTTACGTACATTAAGCACGCCCACAATTTATTACGGAAACCCCTTACAATGTCCAGCAAATGAAGGTACGGCATGTAGAACGTGGAACAATCTAAACGCAAAGGCAATGCTGATAATATCATCAGGTATGGAGTATGAACAATTGCAAACCGTGGTAAGTTGCCAGACAGCACCTGAAATGTGGAACCGTCTAAAAACCATACATGAGCAAAGATCAGCAGTCAATAAACTACAACTTAAGCAACAATTTTTTAATTATAAAATGACAGAGACTGATTCAGTTGCTCAACATCTAAGTAAAATAGATTCGTTAGCACAGGCACTTGCTGACGTAGACGAGCCGGTCATCAAAGTGGATAAACTAGCAAAGGCGCTTGGAAGTCTTCCTATAAAATACAGCGGTTTCATTACAGCTTGGGATTCATACGATGAAACAAAACAAACCTACGAGAATCTGGTTGCACGACTAATGAAGGAAGAGAAACGGCTGACTGAAGCAGAGAAAGTGGCAGTAGCTTTTGCATCCTTGAATGTAAATAAAACGCCAAAAACAAATACAGATCAAAAAGGAAAATCTACAGATAAAAGAAATGTAGAGTGCTTCTTCTGCAAGAAGAAGGGTCACTATAAGTCAGAATGCCGTAAGAGACTGAATAAGCAACAGTTACAAAAAAAAGATAAAAATCGGAAACATCAAGCCTTATCAGTAGAGCATAAAAATATTATGGCATGTGACAACGAAGAGGGGTGGCTGGGTGATAGTGCTGCCTCAAAGCATATGTCCTATCGAAGAGAGTGGTTTACCAACTTACATACTAAAAACATTAAAGATTTTGTACAAGTTGGTAATAATTCTCAAATCGAAGTAGAAGGTTACGGTGATGTAAAGCTTCTAGCACTAATCAATGGCGAGTGGGAGCCACGCACACTTGAAAACGTATCGTATGTTCCAAAACTAAGTAAGAATCTTTTTTCAGTGGGAGCAGCAACAAAAATAAAAACCTAAAAGTAATTTTCAGCAAGGACAAAATGGAAATTTACAGCAATCGTCTAGTGGCCACGGGCATAAAGCAATCCAATCACTGTTATAAAATGCTATTCAAACCGGCGACCAAAACAGTAGCAAATGTATCAGTGATAAGTTCAGCAACACTGTGGCATGAGAGACTAGGCCACATCAATTTTCAAGCACTAAAGAATATGGCTGATCAAGGTCTACTACCAAATACATAAATAAAAACAACTGAAGGATTATTTTGCGAATCTTGCCAATACGGTAAATTGCATCGGTTACCTTTTAAACAGAATATAAAAGATAAAGGTTTAAGACCAGGCGAATGTCTGCACATGAATCTGTGTGGAAAGATGTCATATCCTTTAATCAGCGGGGCATACTATTATATACTGTTCAAAGACGAAAGTACGTCCTACAGAATTATTCGTTTTATCAAGCATAAGAGTGACGCTTTTTCACAGTTTCTCGAAATACAAAAATTAGTTGAAAGACAAACGGGTAATTTAGTAAAGAAAGTAAAAAGTGATAGAGGTCTAGAATTTAACAATGATCAGTTCCAGCGACGTTTCCGTGAAAAAGGAATAATCCATGAGTTCAGCGCTCCATATACTGCAGAGCAAAATGGAAGAATCGAGAGAGAAAAATGAACAATTGTGGAAACAGCTCGCAGTATGTTATTTGCAGCAAAGTTGGAGCCAAATCTATGGGCTGAAGCAGCAAACACAAGCGTTTATCTACTCAATCGACGACCTCAAGAATCAGACAAAACAATACCATATGAACAATGGACAGGGCGGAAAGTTACATTGAAACATCTCAGAAAATTTGGATCAGAGGTCTATATACACGTTCCGAAGCAGTTTAGAACAAAATTCGAAAGCAAATCCAGAAAAATGATACTAGTAAGATACGACAACAACAGTTCGAATTACAGAGTACTGGATCCACAAACCTTGAAAATTACAGTAACCCGAGATGTATTTAATGAACAAGATGTCAATAAAAGTAAAGAGGATACAACTTCCTCGATCGAGAAACAGCAAGAGGAAGATGTACAGAATGAAATTGGAACAGCAGGACAAGATAATATCAAAGATGTTTTTGACAGCTCAGTAGATGCAGAACAGTTAGAAGAAAAAGAGGACAGACCTAAAGCCACAGAACAACACATACTAAGGGATCGAAATAAAATTCAAAAACCAGCACAATACAATGAAACCTACTATATGGCCTGTGCAGTAGTAATAATGGAAGAACCAAAATCATATGAAGAAGCAATGTCAAGTAGTGAGGCCAAAAATTGGTGTCAAGCTATGGAAGAGGAAATGGATTCATTAGCAGCCAACGGAACATGATCTCTAGTACCTCAATCGGAAAAACAGAAGATTATAGACTGCAAATGGCTGTATAAGCTAAAGCGTAAATCAGATGGAACGATCGATAAGTATAAAGCTCGTTTATGCGCGAAAGGTTTCCTGCAAGCAAAAGGTATAGACTATAGTGATACTTTTTCTCCTGTAATTAGATACGATTCTATTCGAATTCTCTTAGCTTTAGCTGCAATACATGATCTAGACATACAACAATTTGACGTAAAAACTGCGTTTTTATATGGAGAACTAACAGACGAAATTTATATGAAACAGCCGAAAGGCTTTGATACAAATCCTAATTTAATTTGTAAATTACATGAGTGTGTTAGAGAATTTAGTACCTTTAATTAATTATCAATCTTTTTAAATCTTAGCATAAACAAATTAATTTTTGCACTTGTTATCAATGTTAGTTATCAAATTTATATAAATTAATAATATAATATTTATGTAAATATTACATCTTTTAGGAATTATCACGTGGTACAATTCCGACACTATTGGCACTAATTTTATGCTCTTCGTCTTTCGAAGTGATAAATGCTCATTCTTTATGGGCGTCATTTCTGTACGCTTTGAATGATGTTAAATCAGTAGCAGCGTTTACTGGCAAAACGGACAGATCAATTGCGGTATATTATCTTTATATTTAATATATTTAGTATTTTACAAAGAAAACGCGAGAATTGCAAGATTAATCATTTTTGTTTTTTTAGGCAGCAATGTACAGTGGCTGTCAAATTTTAGTCAGCACACCACGATATCTAGTTTGATTCTTAAATAACAATAAAGATCTATTGTCATTTGATAGACTTTTTTGTTTAGTTCTTAACAATGTCGATGTAATTTTGGATAAATATTACAATTTGGTGAGTACAAACTTGGATTATAATTAACATTTTTTTTCTACTGGATGATTTATAGTATATTGAGATATTTTGACAGTTGGGAATATTGTTTAAAAACCATAATATAATAAAAAATCGTGAACCACAAGGAGACAATAGACCAATACTACAAACAATTATATCAGCAACTAAGTGGATGTCTGAGATAAAGAAATTTGTACGTTTGATAATGTACAATTTGTATATATGCATTGTATCATTTTTAGAAGCGGTTGTTTTTAAATCTGTGCGTCCAAAAGTATATAAATTGAAATCCACATACAAAAATAAAAAAATAGCAGATAAAAAACTATATACATATAGTAGTTATGTATAATTTAGCTGCACCAATGTTGATTAATTATAATTGAAAAAATACATATTTTTGATGAACTGTTTTAATGTTAGATATATTAAAAAATGATTATAAGGCATTGAAAACAATGATAGTATGTATAAATGCCGAAGAAGCAAAACAGCTAAATGCCTTTTTACTTTCAACGAAGAAAACTTTGTTAATTTATGAAAATATGATGTTAGCGACAGCGGTATTGGTAGTTTTCCACCAAGAGACACAAGCGACACAAAAGTATTATTCGCTCTGTTGCTCATTGAATATCGAACAAAGACAGAGTAATACTTGTGTCGATTTGTGTCAACTTGTGTCCTTTGCTGGAAAACATACATTATACACGAAAACATTGATGTAAGATTACTACTGTACAATGCTCATAATCACATCCTACATTAAGCGTGTTACTTTAACTAAATAATGTTTAGTGTGTTAAATGTGAGATGTGAATATAAACCTAAGCAGTTCTTTCTCTAGTTTTTGTTTATTATATAAATAAATGTATTATTTTATATTTTTTAGGCACGTAAGTTGTTGGACATACCGGAAGAATTATTAAATCTTTCAACGCATATTGTAGAAGTAGTTTTAGCTGGCATAGCGCCATATGACAAAGATTATGCATGGAATCACTACACTAACAAAGCGGTTTACAAATGGTTTGCAGAAAATTTTGATGAAAGATCTTATATTATCAGCAAGGTAAATTTATATCAAAATAAGAAAAAAGTATGAAGAGGAAAATACGCAAATATGCAATTAGAGATATGCAAAATTGTAAAAAAATGAAGCTCTATCTAGTGAGGTTTGCGAGGTTTCCTTATAAGAGAATGCAATAACGCATTACATGCAAATATATTTGACATTCGACCGTTTGATATGGAGATCAATGCAAAATTATTCTTTACGTTTCAGAAACAAAACCATCACGACTGCTTGCATTGTCAGCGCCACATGCGAATAACATCAGGATAATATGGAGTATTGAGAAGGATTGCCAGTTGTCGACCATATTTACTGTATGCAATCACACAGGAAGCAAAGGAGAAGGCTATGATTCTGTGAACAATTTATGTTCAACGAACGTAGATGAGGAGAATGTAAACAAGCTCAGTTTCACACGAGAACAGGAATGCATTCTCAAATCTACCTAACAGTTTTCAAGACAAGCGGTAGGATCTGATGCGATATGTATAGTATAATATGTATAATAAACGATTTCGGGGGAGCAAGTGCGCTTTCGCGCGCGATTGAGAGAGAGAGAGAGAGAGAGAGAGAGAGAGAGAGAGAGAGAGAGAGAGAGAGAGAGAGAGAGAGAGAGAGAGAGAGAGAGAGAGAGAGA